TACACATTTGGCATTATCATGTGTTGTTGTTGGAGAAGGGAGCCTTAATTACACAATATCTTAGCAGCTCATCGTAGCGAAATCCTTGGAAAAGCAGGATCAGCAAACCAATTAACGTTTTCTTGGCGGATAATCTCACAGTGCACGTTAAGACTTTGTTCAGGTGGTCAAAATCGGACTTATGCAAAAGCGTGTGCATTTGTCTGGTCATTTAAAATTCTTTTCTGCCTGTCTTCTAGCTCGGCGACAGCTTATGCATTGGAATCCCGCTTGGTTATTTGTTCTCTTGGCCGTCAAGTAAGTGTAAAGATCGTGGTGTTATTCAATTAAGACACAATTGCAATAATGACCTAATGACTTCGCTTCTCAAGTTAAACAGCGCTCGTTAGCAAACACTCACGTTGCACCGGAACTAATATCGGTTGAATGTGTCGGCCAAAGTAGCTCACCAGATTGCGTAATGGTTGGCGTTTATTTGTGCAGCATCCGACGCCGTTTGAGAGAAAAAGTGCTGAACACTATCGGCACACAAAGAGGGGGCACCAAAATGGTTAATATTATCAATAATCGACCGCATCTATCTGACACCCGTAATTGTCAAGCCAAATTATGGCGGAGAATTGCAAAATAAAGCCGGAAGTGTTCAAATCATCATGACGCGTCGTCCACAAACTTAAACACAGCATGTGGCCTCCCGACAGGCCGTCGGATTTATCAAACCATTGCTTGTGAAAGACGACTGAACTGCCATTTTTTGGCAGTCGGTCACCCTGCGCAGAAACAAGAAGTCGTGTAAATCACAAAGAACTGATTTCTGTGCTAAGAGGCGTTGGACAAATCTGCGGAATTCGATGTCAGAAAAACACGGATTTGATTACAATTAACAATTATTCTATTGCATTGAATAAAGTGTTTCCGATAATCATTAACAGGGTGGTGTCGCATACGCGATAAATTCCACTTCAAAACATATTTTAAATAGCCACGAATTGCTTAGGATTCTCTGCCCTTTGTGCAGGATTCGTCCAAAAACATATGGCGCAACTAATTTCGTCTTCAAAATGCACACACCAACGTATTCATTCTATATCTGCATACATGATTTCTGTTTGCTTCATTCAGTGGGCTTAGCAGTTTTTTTTCATTACCATGGCATGTCAATGCAGAGTTAATTGCGCTCAAATAATTTATTCTTCAAAATAAGCTATTTGGGGAACTCCCAGTTCAGGGTTTATTCTTCTGCTAATATCACTTGTTGCAGCAATTTTTTGTCCGTCTGCATATAATCATAATAATGGGCTGGCTTTCAAAGATTAGTTGTTTTGCACAGAAACCGAACAACAATAAAGAAGAGCTCCCTTCCTTGCTGTGTATTTGCAGGACTATGGAACAATTATGATTCTCATGTGAGAACGAACACGTGCTGCTGCAGCAAACCAACATTTTAGCCTATGGCAACATGCAACTGACGTGAAATAGTTGTAATTTCTTGGTAACATTTAACCACAGACACTGTTTTCTTTGTCATAATGAACTGCGTCTTCAGCAGCCAAGCGTTTCTATGTTTCATGTTAACAACGTTGTTTCAAATAACTCATGCATTCCAATGTTTTAGCCAAACTATTGGGTTTCCAGTAAAATACAAGAAGTACTTGCAGTGATCAACAAAATCCTCACTAGGTTGGTTGATCTTCCCAAATCACAGCTCTACGGCGTTCCATGATTGCACTTGAAAACCTTCCAATACACACAAAATACTGACATGCATATTACCGTCTTAGGGTTCTCAAGTCCATCACTACCACATGTCAGTGAACAGCTTCCTCGCTGCGGGCTTATTCACAAAGGACAGAGATGCAAAATGCGTTCTCATTTTCTCCGGACCCTTCGCGTGAGATATTTCTTTTCGTATGGCGACACTCAATAGAGAATTCCAAATGCAAGTGAATCAGGAGAAATTTTGTGATCTTTCCTTGGGATGCCTAATATAAACGACCATAGTTGCTTCCATCCGACTTGTGGCAACTGAGGAATGAGCAAGCTCGTCAGAATTATCCCACCAACTTTGGTCATGAGAAAAGTATCAGAACATCATATAGGTGGAAATCTGGAGCTCCCGCCGCCGAAAATATCATCCCGTTTCCAAACTCAGAACATTCCAGTGTCATACGTAATACGCATCCTCATTGGTACCTTGGATCGCTGAAAGTTCGTAGAGTTATTTTCTCGAATCAAAAATACCGAGGTGCCCTGTATAATCTCCTAACAACTGACATCATTGCGTATATTTGTAAGTAGCCTGGCGCTGATGACGAATACGTGAAACGTAGACAACGATAGACGCACGCTGTGATTAGGGTGTCATGACATTAATTTTAGACGAATGGCCAGTATTCGTCCAGAGCACCTCACCACGCGGAGGTTAACAGTGGAAAAGCACGCAATGGTGAAAAGCACTAAATAAAACAGCCTGGCCGGCAAGAGACAATGACAAAAATGGCCCCGTGAATGTCGCAACTGAAATCTCCAAAATGGGCTAGTTCACGACATATAAGTAACAAAACATTTGGTATTATACGCTCGAGGAAAGATAGTCCAGTTTCCGACCTGAGCGGACTGCTATATTTGGGGTAGATTGTGTCAACTATGAAATTTGATTTTGGCTTTCATTTCGGTGAAACCAACCGCGCATGAGGCGGCCATCTAGCAGTTAGAGAACAAGCAGAAACAACGAATTTCCTCTGTCTCACTAGAAGCTAAATGTCAAATGACTTTGGCTTTAAGAAGAAACTTCTGCGGTCTGCCGGAAGTAAACATTTCTCGGAAGGTATGGACCATCCTTCTTGTCTTTGCCAAACTATTTATCCTCAGAAGTATCAAGGATAATAGGAATAGCTTGCACTCACTTTGTTCACAATAACTTGCATGTTTACTTGCATTATGCGATCATTTCGGTGGATTGGGAGTTTTAAATAATTATTTATGTAGATGAGCCTGGATAACGGAATTTCGGTAAATACCTGCAGGTTCGAATCCACCGTTATGCCTAATGTTGGGGAAACCTGGCTCCGTCAAGTGTATAGAAAAACACGCAATACTTATCCCTCAGGGATTATGAACAGAAACATTTCAGGCGCGTTCAAGCGCGATGATCCGAATTTCCCATTAGGTACTTTGTGGAGTTCTTTCTTTTGAAATGCTCTGGCCTGCTACAATTTACAGGTGGTGACAGGTGACTCAAGATTAATCAAATGTCTAGAGGAAACTTGAAAATCGGGGCCTTTTCTGCGTTGTTTCACTTGTCTCTGTTTACCTTTACAGGTGGGTTTGTCATCCAATGCTCAACATCAATATTCCTCTCAGGTGACATTTCCAAGTACTGTGATATCCATCATTCTTTTTTCGACCCGCTTACATAAAACGTCCACCTCCACTTGTGTCTTCTTTGTGGCCATTCAGTGAGCATCTCCACCGCGTGCAAGTAACCCGGAGATGACCACACTGTTTTGAATGGCATGTGCATCTAGCAGTATCTAGCAGAAAATATACACTGGAATTCGTTGTACATAAACAGCCTAAGTAAGCGAACCAGGCGGACATTTCTAGAAGCAGGGAACAGACGTGTGCATTCAGGTGTTAGGAACGTCGCCAACTCAGTGACAATAAAGCGCTATATTAATATCCCGTATGGGTGAGTCAAAAATATTCCATATAAGGGGCACAGCTGGCCAGAATGAACAAGGATTCTGTAGAAAACTAGTTCAGTTTTCTGGAAAACCTTTGAATAAATGCAAAACACAAAACAGATGAGGGCAAATTAGTTGACCGGTTATGCAAGAAAATCTGCAAATCGCGAAGCAAGCAGAAATGGTACCTTTCGCTCTCAAGCATCCCGTAAGTGAACACGAATTTCTGTGATTTCGGACAACATTTTGTTTGCCGAAAGCTTCCGGTTAGATGAATGTTGCTTCATTTTTATCTACAGGGATGAAACATATTATCACTAACCTGAAATCAAATTGTGCAGCATTGTATAGCAGTGGTAAATTTACTGTCTTATTATTAGCAACCATATTTTTCTTTCACCCGAAAAGCGCAAAGAAAACTACTCGGACACTCTTGCCGGGCCGTTTCGTCATCTTACGGGTCTGTCTGTCCAATATATATCAACATTCAGGTGACTGCCGCAGCAATCCAGAAAACTCGATTTGACGACGATGGTAAAAGCAGGGCGGTGGGTGGCATAAATGATCGAAGAAGATGAGTACCAAGCCTAGCATAGCTAATTCAAGCCAACGCGGCAAACTCGGTCATGTGCACTACAGGCTGGTTGGCTTGCGAAACTGAATGGCAGTGCCCTCAAGTATTATTTGTTGAAGGTTGAGCGATTGTTTCGAGCCCTCTAATCTCTCCCTAATCTGTCGATCAGCGTTGAATAATTGGCATCAATATGGGTAATCTAGGTGCTGGTAAACCCGCGCAGGGCTCACCAACTCATATATATTTCAGTGTACTGAAAACTTTAAACAATGTGCAACACAAATCATTTTGCACCTAATCGAAAGCTTAACCAGCACTTGATACAGATTCGTGACCCCAGAGAGGAGTGAATAATTCCGGTGTCCATTTGTCTAAAAAACATTCACAATAACTCTTGCGTCTGAAGGGCGATTCACATGGCATCTAACCCACGACGTTCGATAGATTTGAGCTACAGTTTCCTGGTTCATGAGCTATCACTATCCAATCCAAGTTACGTGTGCCCAACTGTCGGGGAAATGGGCGATCTGTGATTCAGGGGCTTTCACTGAACGATTTGATGGTAATAAGCTGTAACACAAGGTGGAGTTCGCCATGCTTATCTTGAAATACCCTGTTGAACCTTTGCTTACTTGCGGTGATATTCCAGCATTCGACCGAAGGTGACTCTCTGGCATCATGACATATGGGCGATCAATCTGTCATGCGCACGCTCACGTCTCTAAAACATTTCGACACACATGGAATCCAAACCACCGACAACATGGTCAGCAAACACATTGGGGGCAGGCCAACGGTAGATAAAATCGTCGCGGGAAGTTTTGCCCAATGACACTATTGGGGCCCAACGAGCACTATTGGGGTTCTCATCATATAGGGTGGTTATACTGAAATAGAAAGAATCGGCATTCAGGCAAACCTGCGAATTTGTAGCGACTGTTTACTTGCAGTAAATAGAAATATTTCCAGTGTTACAGAATGCCGTCTTTGTTGGAGGTTGAGCGATTGTTTCTAGCCCTCTAATCTCTCCCTAATCTGTCGATCAGCGTTGAATAATTTTCACAAGCAGCATCATGAAATCTTCATATCTAACTAAACCATTTACCGAAATTTAATATCACGGAGAACCTTGACCATACCGTGTTGCGACGATTTGCGCACCTCATCGGCCCATCGAAATATACCGTGGGGTATCCCGGCGACACTCGCAGGGTCCCCCATACGGGATGGGTCAATGACTGGACTTCTGAAGAACACAGTCTCCTGATCTTGCAGATTGTGGGTTAGAACCTGTGGCGAATTGTTCTGTGAAAATTGCAATGTATGCGCATTTCCTGCCAAACACCACTGCCTTGCGGTGAAGCTTCCGAACCAAAAGAATTTCGTTGCAGGCACAAATAGTCCTCTTGTCTAGGTAAGCGCGCCCTGAGGGTATCCGAGCTCACGTACGTCAATAAACCGCACACAAGCAAATAAACGGCTGCAACATCATGCGTCGTGTGGTTCTATCAGCCGGGTGGCCTTACTTGCTGCGTTCAGCGGGGCGATTAAGTAAAAACAGGCTACTGTATGCGGCTCTCTTCTCTCTTAACATACCACATCTTCCCCATCCCCCAACATCAAAAATAGTCATCTTTTGTAGGCGCAATAATTGCGACTCATGAGTCCCTTTGTCTCGCATCGTTTTGCATGGAAGATTTGCGCGTCACAAGATACTGGCATCGAAAGATCCCTTCAAATCAAAACTCGAGGCCTCGATATCGTGTAAAGCCTGTCGCATTAAATGTGTGCACATTTGGGCAAGTGGGACAAATAGCTGCAATTTCCCTCACATTCGAATCCATCGGCATTGATGTGTTCTCTGTTTGAGGAAAAAAAACTAAGATGCAGGCACTACGGTGAAGGTGATAATTCAATCGACCCCGATTGCCGTTTGCAACTCTTGTGGTTCGGAGGATGCTGACGCAGGATCTGCTGTGGTTGGTAGCGTCTTCAGTCACCGGGTGGAAGTATGCTTGATTGACTGGATACTTAGTGATAGTCGTTTCTGCGAGGCTCGTTTTGCAGCCTCTGTGAGGGAGCATCCCAAGGAGAAAAATGATGGCTGTCTCTACATCGTGTCTGCGTACGGCCCAACTGACTGTAGCTCCAACGCTGCGAATGACAGGTTTTATGACGCACCGAATGTCCTGCTGCGGCGAGGTAAAGAGCTCAAACATCGTGCTTGTTTCCAGAGATTTGACTCCAGGCTCAGCAAACTTGAAAGACAACTGGGCTCGGTGCATACTGGCAATTGCAAACGATTACTTCATCTGTGTTCCGATCGCAGGCTGTTCCATCCAGTACTAATTTCCGAAATAGCCGGAGTCGTCTGGCCACATGGTGCCCTCCAACGGCAGGCCGGCGGCAAACTGAAACTGACCACATTTCCAATAGCTCCCGATTGCGTGGATCAATAACTGACAGCCATTCGTTTTGGAACACATTTGTGAATTCCGACAACGCTCATCCGGCGTCCATTCCCACCACGCTTTCCGGGGCCTCCTTGGGTGCAGACAAATCGTTTGGTAACTAAAAGACTGGAAGATTCGGATTCCGGGTGAACCTATCAGAATCGTCTCCTAGGGTCTCTTCCAAATGCTTCACCATCAGATGTGAAATCATGCTGGGGTGCAACCGCAACCCCTTTGCATATTACTAGGAATTTCGTCTGCGACACGGCACCGCCAGGCGCACGCAAGCACTGGATATCATAGTGAACGTTGCGGCTGCTCAAATTTCGGAGGATTATTCCACCCGGGCCGTAACCTAACTCGATTCGACGAATTATCATTCACGAAGTGAATTTGAGGGTGCCGGCCGACCGTGAAGTGTGGTGGACAAACAGGTGGCATAGGAGAGATGGCAAGGAGACGGCATGGGCCTACAAAGCCGATAATGGCTGAGGTTTGTTTCTGTTGGCCGTGCCATGTGTCTCAGTAAACCACCTCCGGGAGCATGAAATATAAAAAAAACAGTGATCGTTTAGAATAGACAAGAACGCCTCAACGGTTGGGTCAAGCACTTCGAACAATAATTGTCTTGGCCAAAAGCTCGCATCCATCTGAAACCCACACGTGACGCAGAACCCAGGAAGCTAAAGGTGAAGTCGTCCATGGTGTCGGAGATTTATGAATCCATATGATCTCCTAAGCGCTACCGGGCTTCTGGTCCGAATGTTCGCACACCCGCATTGCTCGAAGATGGTGAGACCCAAGGTCAGCGTTTGTCTGATCTGTTTGCTTGGATTTCGAAAACGCTGTCTGTGCCGGAAAACTGAGGGGCTCGTAGCATACGTTGCAAAGAAGGATTGGCCTGAATCAGAAAGTGGTGAGATTGTTGACATCACTGGTTATTAGGTCGCCTTACGGTGGCCCGTGGGACACTGACTCGAGAGCAGCAAGCGATTTTCCGGCCTGGTAGGGTTTACGTCGACCAAATATTTACAATCCTTAAGGTGCTCGAACCACACCATTCGTGTAAGCGACCCACAATTATCGTGTCCCGGGATAAACAAGACACCGTTGACACGAATGATCGATCCGTTTCACTTGAAATGCCGACCAAATATTTACATATTTTTCATTTTCAAGGAGGATGAGAACGGGAAACTCCCCTCGGATGAAGTCACCACGGTCCTTCCATCCCATTGTATGCACTTTGCACCCACAAAATGAATGGACTTGTTCCTGGACATATAGTTAATTGAGAAGTCACTTACAATTCAGGGGCGAGCTTTTAAATTTTTTCCAGCGTTTTACGTATCTTCGAAGTTGTAATAATTCGGACTGTAGTGTGAGGAATGAGGCGAATGCACGAGTCTGCAAGGCTCGTGTCACGTTAGGTGATTTGGCAACCTATGGCAACAAGGTGGTGTATTCCGGAATCTCAAGAGAATTGTGTATCAAGCTACAGTGCAGGCTGTTTTGTTCGGTGGCTTGGACGTAGCGTTTTCGGACGGCGCAACCGAGACGCCCTCAGGTGTTTGACAAACGTGGTCTCAAAACGACAGCTCGTGTATTTCCATATCGCCACATGCCTAACGAGGCAGCAGTAAAGCGAGTTTTCGGTTGTTTAACGGGTACTTCCAAAACCAGAATGTGATCACCACCAGAAGCTGAGTTAGTTAGGAAATGTGTCGCACATGCGGAACCTTTGTTTGCGGAAGAAAGTGCTGTTTTCCATGACTAACTCAGAGTGGCGAAGCAGATAGGCATGAAATAAATCTCGAAACATTTGGGTGTTGCCAGGGCTACTCGCCCCTCAGGATGGTGATCGCATGATCCTCAATGCGCCTTGTTGCACGCTCTGCAAGATGTGGATGGCAACCAATGCAGGTGACGATCTGGTTGTCAGCTTCCATTCAGATTGTCTGAATGTGCGTTTGGAGGTGAAGGCACCTCGATATCATTGTGGTAAGACGGCAATAACCTCCTTCCCCATGCAGCTTCATTATTTTCTCAATCCTGAGGTCTCCCATTAAAACATGTTTGTTGGAGATCAAAGCATCGTTTTTGAACAATGACGTTATCGGTGATGATGATGATGATAATGGTGACGAATTTTAAATACATCTTTATCAGTCTATGTTGATCTCTGGCAAACCTCCCAACTCATTCGTGATTTGGGCCTTTGCTGGTTGTTTTTCGCAACCACGTCTAGAATCCAATCGTTGCAAACCACTTGTTCGTAAACCACAAATATATTGAAGTTACACTAGGGTGGCGCAAGTGTTAGTATTGTGGAAACGGTGTCGAAATTGTGCAAATAGACCTGGCTGAATATTGAATGGCATTTACTCCGATAATGAATATCGGCGAAATTCGGAACCAGTCATCTGAGCACTTTCCGCGGATAACCTTAATAGGCGATGCTCACTTTGTTCATAAAAACGCACATGAATTGCGCAACAATTTAGGTGAATTTGAAGGCTTTCTGAGATGCTTCCCTAATTAAATGAACTTGGATTATGGAGGATCGGTTTTTGGACGAGACGTAATATTTTACAAGCGGGCTTACGAAACTAGACACTTCAAACACAGTTCTTAAAGCGCGATGATCCAAGTTTACCTTATGGACCTCCGCAAATTTCTTTCACTTTCGGCGGGCCCGTTGAGATTAATATATACCAGGCGGCTCTAGGTGACTTAAGAATAATCGGATGATGGTATTTATCCTTAAGGTCTGGGCTGATCTGCACTGTTTCATCACTCTCCGTTTCCTTCAGCTACCTTCAGCACCTAAAGCTAATAGGCATTTTTCGTTTGGAAAACCATCAAGTCGTATGATATTCATCGTAAAATTCCCGAAATATTTTTAAAATAATCATTTTATAAAATAATCGCGCCTAACGGAAATGAGCCTGCAATGTGTACATAAATATTTGATTTTCCTTGGATCACTTAGAACATCAAGCTCCATTGTATAAATTTCATAAACATTTTTACATTAAAGGCAAACTATGAAGTAGACAAGTACACATTACATGATCAATTACGAAAGAACCCCAAATCGACCAGAAACCATTTGAAATCGTTCACCCGCCTTCCTGGATGGGAACACATGATCCGAAATGTGCCTGGGGTGAAACACTACAAAATATGCCTGCCAAGCGATGTCAGTATTGTTTCTGTTGCCAGTTTCCAAGATGCATGGCTGAGTGAGTGCGTGGAGGTGAACCCACCTCAGAATGATTGTAGCAAGACAGTACCATGCACCGCCAACATCCAGCTCCATCATTCTCTTCAAAGAGAAGATTTTCAGTCACTTCACGGTTGTACGGCAGCAAAGCATCCGTGTGAAACTCTGATGTCATGCTGTCGATGATGATAACGATGAACTGAAAACACATCTTCCCAACCGATGTTCATCAGTAACAATCTACCTAACACCTTTGCGATCTAGTAACCAATCGTAGAAAAACACTTGTTTGTGGACCCCCAGTAATTTGATGTGGCACACGTCAAGTTGACGGACTACAGGAATAATTATCACGGTAATGCATGAAGCCTGTGCTTTCAAAACTCACTCGTTTCCCGCTGATCAAGAGGACTGCTGATAAATTTCCAGCGTAGGGCAACATCGATGAGTCCACGCAACACGGAAGGTTTTCCAGGATTTTGCTGCGTGTTGCGTCATAGATTTGTGCGACATGGAGTACGTTCAATTCAACCGTTGATAACCAATGCCTCAATATGCTGTTCAAATTGAAAACCACTCGCCGTTGCTCTGGAAACTTTCCGGTTTTCACGGACAACGGTATATGAGCAAGCCCAAATGAAAGCACAGGGTACCGACATGGAGTACGTTCAATTCAACCGTTGATAACCAATGCCTCAATATGCTGTTCAAATTGAAAACCACTCGCCGTTGCTCTGGAAACTTTCCGGTTTTCACGGACAACGGTATATGAGCAAGCCCAAATGAAAGCACAGGGTACATCTAAATTCTATTTGTGCATACAGCCGGCAAAACTTCCACGAATGATTTATGGCCTTCGACTTCTCCGCAATACAACTGCAACGAACATCCTGCAAAACCGTAAGTGTCGATGAATTCAGAGATGCTATTGGGTCCAGTGACAAAGTTTAGTGAAACCGGGGTTTCTTGCATTTTTCGGCTACTTTAAGAAACGCGCTATTATCTTATTTAAGACCAGATGTCATTAATCTTGTCTTCGAGGACCATTTCACTGGATAACAATGTACGAGCAAATTAACACTGCATATTCTTGCCAGTCATGGAAACTTATAAGATAGTTTGCGGTGATTCTCCACCAGCAGCAACGTAACAGCACGTTTTGCCAGAACGCCAATAACAGAACTCGCCCATGACGAGAGGGCCGCGTCTTTCGGGCTATCGATGTACACAGTTTGTTTGAGCGATCAGTCCCTGAATCAAGCAATTGGCAGGCCTTCAAAAACGCTTGTATAAGGTAGCATTCAGTTTGGTTCTATTCCCGCCTCAAAGATACTACACTTCCTGTATCGATTAAGGAGGGCGTCCTGTTCCCGTCTATCTCGATGGAAACCCATGAGGTAGCCTGCATCACTGCGTTAAACTCAATATACTCTGGATAACAGGAGTAATTCAAATTTTTATATACAGCAGTTAGTTAGGAGGGCATCAATTCTTTCAACGGTGAGGCACGCCACACTTGTTGAATCGGCTCATTCAAGTGTCTCCACGATTTCTTTTTGATGGCTGCAAGCTGCTAGGCTGGTGGGCCTACGCAGTTCTTCAGGTCCTTGGTTAATCAATCTTCTTTGTCTTCCGCAACCGGGCACAAAGCGCAAGCTGGACACCCTTGACGAACTGATGAGAGAACAACTGCTAGCTTTTCACTGCTCCCAGTTGCGACAAAGTTCGACGCAAAGACTGCCCAAACCTTGCGAGGTACACGGTCACATCACACCCAGATGCTATTCTATTCGCCTTGCACTGCCTGCCAGCCGCACAGTGGTCGCCATGTGTCGAACCCCGCCAACGAATTTTCATTTTACCCGGTTCACCGCACCAAATGAAAATAAGAGGGCTTTTGCCGCGGCATGGTTTATCTAAAAACACAAACTTAACTTTAGAAGACTCCCGGGCAGAGGAACATGACTGTCGTATGCATTCCGTTTAAGAAAACTGAATATCCGTCTTTTCGAACGCGTCTTCCTGGACCTCCCTGGATACGCATTGGCGATTCCTTGGTTCACTTTGTTCTTGGTCATTCTCGCCATCAGGCTGTGAGAAAAATACTCGAAGCCAAATAGATGCGTTTTCTGTTTCACGAGCACGACTTGATCGCAGATGCGTTGGATCGGATGATTCGGTGGAAAACAACGTGTCTTGTATTGTTTGATGCGCCCAAACATAGCGCGCCAGCTGCCACTGGAATCTAGTTGGTGTGGTCACCTTCAAGGACCTGCTTCGTGGGATTGTCATCGGCAAATCCAGTCATCCAGATTCAGGTGTTGCCGGAATGTCGCATACAAATCACGAGAGATGCGATTCTCCTCTGTGTGACCACCACTGGCCTGGTGGATCGCTGACTTCGGACGAAGTGATGTCGTCGTATTCGAGCAAGGATGCTCGAAGCAACACACCATCCAGACTCTTCACTCGGTGCGTTGAATTCTTCATTTGATGAGAGAGCTTCACTGTCAAGCTCTTCGAGGAGCACATTTTCGGCTCACTCGGACTCAGAGAGATTTTATTTAACCTTGCGGCCCCATCATGCGATACGGAGCAACGGGAATCCTGTCCTGTATTTCCAAAGGCTCGGAGGGCCCACCCACACTAACCACAAATGCCGGCACTATTGGTACAAAATTCCCTTCACCCGATGCGCCAACGCAGTTCCATCCAACTGTTCAACAGAGATCTATTCGACATCCGAGTACCTCCAGCTTCGACCCTGTTGGCACGCACTATACCCCGAAAGCGCCCTGTTCTGCCCTGCCCACTAGAGTTGCTACTGTCTATCCAGTCACCGGACTTGCTCCGGATAAATTTGAAAAGGAGCAAGTCAAATATGGAGATGAAGTGGAGTCCGTGTTTCCACTGGATTAACCCAACCAGTGGTTCCTACGGCACCACGACTTTTTGAATGCGGTTCCGTTCCATTTTCTCGAGTTTGTTTGTCGTGAACAAATGCTCCTGTCATCTGAACAAACCCCGCCTATTTTCAGAGACATTCTTCCTGATAGATCGATGACACTCTTATTTGCCATTGTCCTCACCGTTATACTAGTAGTCTTATTACAAAACCACCTTTACACACATTTCGTTCATTACTCGCCCAGCCCCTCCCACCTCATTGCCGGCCGTATCGTCCCAATAAATCCATCCAGTTAGCATTTTTCATTGAGTATCGTCTTGGTTACGCACTCCCCCTAACATGTGTCTCCATTTTCAGGAAGCATGACAGTTTCCTACACATCAATCACTGAGTCAATCAATCAATCAATCAGTCACATACACGGACGGTCTAAAACTTCCATGAAACTTCCGCTGCCCTGAACATTCTCCACTTCCTTTCTCTCGGATCCCTCAACTTTCCAAAGATCAGTTGTTGTTTTTTTATTGGTTCCACTTTTCTATGATTACATCTGCATTGTGTGCTGAATGTGGTTTTCATACGGCCCCTTAACCACAAATATAACTGCATGCTGCAAACCTGTCCCACACATTCCGTAATAAATCTAAGTTTTCATCTAACGCTATGTGGATTTACGCGGAAACTTGCGCGCCTCATCATCAGTATGTAGTGACATCATTGCCCAATATCAGTAGTATCTGGCAAATTATGTGATTCAGCATGTGCCCATCCACACGGCAGTCACTTCCCCACCCGCATTCAGTTGCACTGAAGTTTGATCAAATTCAAAACGTCGTAAATGTATATTATATATATATATATATATTGTTCGTAGTGTGGGGAGATTTGGGATACTTGGTGAAGAATTTGTCCTGTAAAATGGAGCCAGTCTATGCCGAAAAAGCCCAGAAGCATTGCACAGCTGTTTCATCCCTATTGGGAATCGGTTGTTTGCAAACGGTTACGTGTTCAAACTAGTAGCTAGGAGGTCGCGGGTTCCAGACTCTGAAGAGGTTCGAGAGGTGCGCACTGCTGATGATTACCAATAAAGATGACACAGCAACGCGGGTCATGTGCAGCACCTCAGTGTAGTTATTCTGTTTACAATGGCACGCTTCACGAATATCACAAAAATGAAACTTGTGTGCAGTTTCTACAACACCTTCGTTTAATCCTTATAGCAACATCGCATGGTCAAAAGTTGACATGGTCCGTGATGTTCATTTGCCTGTGAATACCTCCTATGCTCAAATCTTGTGACATCCAAGCGTATTAAATACTGGCTTCCCTTTATCTTGTATCTTGACTGGGAGAAATCAATCCCAATAAACAGTCGCGATTTACGCCAAGCGTCCTTGGGTTTACGCGGACAATGAACAGAGCGTCGCCTAGTGTACCTTTGGACGGTTAATATAAGAAATTTAAAAAAATTATTTACGTCGATACATGGACACCCAGGTCTATGTAAATGGAGAGAAAGGACTAAGTGCCACCAAACATAAGTGAACAACGGCATCAAAACAGCCATTAACCACCAATTCGGGTGGCGCCATATGCGACACTCTACATCATGAGCGGCGACTGTTGAAATCAAAGAAATATTGCCACACATGTCCACACAGGTCTATGGGGCAAAATTACACAGTGATCTCATTATAAGAACACCATCTACAAAAACATACGTACCAAGCAAACCGGAAATACACCAAGGTGGGTCCGTTAACGGGATGAGACCGGCTCAAAAGCCCCGTAACATTCCAGATTCCACGGTTACATATGATACATGGACAGAGTTTCGTTGATGTTCAACAATTTTATTACGATCCACAACATTCACTATTCTACTTCAAGCGATCTTTTGTTAGGAATCAGAAGTTTAATTCTAGGAGTGCTGACTAGCTAGCACATACACATCTTTTATAGCAACATTCAGTCAGACACCGAAATGCATAACAATCAAGAGGTTTTTATACAGTGTGATAACACATTAACACAGTGGCCCCGAAATCACGTACGCAAGCAGTGAGCGAATTCGTTCACAATCAATAACATCTCGCTGGCATGACATCCTTGTGGCCAGAGGGAAATTTTCCATACTGACCAGTTTTAACATGAAGCTCCCTTAGTACGAAATGTTTGCAGGTGAGCAGACATATGAGTTATCGACACAGACGGCGTAGTCCACATTCAACTAAATGAGATCAGTTTACCCGATGTTGAAATTTCGGAATCACAGTGACACGGGTAGGCTAGAAGCAATCATGGTGTACAAATATCCAGGTTCAACTGCGGCACAATCGCTGTACCCACAAAAGCAAGAAAAAAGGCCGGTAAAAATATTTTGTAGTACGGAAGTAACTTTGAAGCGTTCCTTATTTTCTTGAAAGCGCTTTGGTAATTTTAAAATGTAACCAAAACGCAACCTACATAAACCTGCTGTACCGGGTTGGGGTCTACAATTTCAGCAAAATTTGCAAGTGATATAAACTTACATCTGTTAAACAACGTATGTGGAGATCCTTTCATGTAAACGGGAAGTTTACAGGTCGATGTTCACAGGGGTTGCTGGGCTTCGCGTAATAACAGAGGGTGTAGGCGAATTAAAAGTTTCATGTTTGGTGAAATTTTTGCCCCTTTGAGTCAGGGGCGACAATGTAGGGGTCCATATCCTACGCTTACTAGAATCGATCCATGTTTCATCATATTACAGCCATGCAATAAAATCCTTTTTCCAATGAATGTCGAAGGACGCGCTTTACAAAATATTCATATTGTTCAGGCTTTACTGCGTGTTGAAGACGCAGATAACTTGTCGGCGGCGGTCTGATATACAGGCGATGCCGCCAAAAATACTTGGTAGTTCTAATCTCCTCTTGGCAAGCCACAATATCAGTTCGGTCACTTCGCGGTGCTGCCGAAAAATGCGTAAGGCAGAAATGGCGGCCGCGTTTGTCCCCGAAATAGATAAACGAAGCAATCCCATGTCCCACCCTCTAACTCGCTCACGGGTAATCCGAATGATACGAAAGCTCTGGAGTTTGCATATGTTGAAGGTGGAAAACTAATTCGCTGGGGTAATACTATAAATTAAGCGAAATAATTTGTTTAAGAACTCGTTTCAGAACAGCTAGATGAACGCCCATTTGTTTCCATTTCGGCGAAGTTTCGCTTTTAACAGAATGCTTCATCGAGCCAAGGAAACCATTCATCAAATTATTCAGGCTTTTTAACAGACGAGGAACGAGTCAGTGCGTCCATTCCAGCTTATCACACTAGATCAGTGTTTGGTGTCAATTACCGGAATTCGTCGGCCAATGTGGTTGCGAAAATATTGAATTGATGGGTTGTCGGTTATTACATTATTTCTGATCGCTTTCTGTTCATTAACTTTTCACACCAGGGTGGTTCAATTAATGATTCAATTCGGGCACCACTTGTGAAATTTCTTAGTTCTCGTAAATTTACGAGTGTTGCGACAATTTGTTGAGGAAGTAGAGGTGAGTGAGGTTAACTGGTATACAGATGCTGGCTATTCTCCCTTCTGATAATCACACACTAGCATATGTAAGCCCGAGCCACCCAAGATCGCTTTTGATACGTTTGTCAGTTTCACGCCTTGTATTCTTTTTACACCGAGAGGCATAGCGATTTCAACTTCCTCGATTCACTCTCTGTGTCAAGAAAGGTAGTCCTCACCTAAAAACCTCAATATTTTATGGATCTGTTTTACGCTATGTCTAGTGCATGCTCCTCAATATCCGAGTCCTTCAATAATGCTTTACGTTGATTTGCGTCTCTTGGCAGACTGTTTAATTTTCTACTTTCTTCCGGTTCTGCCGCGGAGTTCCCTAGCCGTCTGTCCTATACGGCTCTTGGTGTAATCGTTATACCTAATTTTGTAGACACAGACTCCGGTTCGGTTTCATGGGGGCGATCGTTCAATTACATCAGTGGGAAACGCAGAGTGCGCTTCTCTGGAAAGCTACT